CCCAAGCCCCCGGGGCCGGGCCCCTGCCGCACGCCCGGGGGCGGGGCCAGCCCAGAATGCTTTGCGGGCGCACATAAATGGCCTGGCGGGCGCCATGGCGCCCGTCCACGCAACATTGGGGACCACTGATGTAGGTGGTGTTAGGGTTGGGTAGGGAAGTGAAGTGGTGGGCGATGAAGATCCTTTAACACAGTGGTCACCAACCAGTAGATTTTGATGGTCTGGTAGAGCTTAGCACATCTGACAGGTGATCCTGACTGGTTTGGCCAAGAGGTTATCAAGCACAGCACTTCAGCGCCTCCCACCCCCAATTGCTGCACATCTCCTCCCCTTTGCCTTGGAGTTGCCTCCCCCTCCAGGAGCCTCCTGCTTGTTGTGCAGAGGAGGGAAGAGAGAGGAGGGGTGCTAAGGTCAGAATGCTCCCCTCCCCTCCATTCTATCTCCACAGAATGGAAGGGGGGGGGGGGCGCACAACAGGGCTTGGGATAGAGAGAGTTTGCTGGCTGCTTTTGGGAGTGGTGCAGGGTCAAGACAGGAATGAGCCTGCCTTAGCCCCATGGTACCACCACCCAGGAGCCACCTGAGGTAAGCAGTGTACACCTGAAGCCAGCTCCAAACCCTTGCCCCAGTCATGTACCCCCTCCTACATCCCAAGCCCTTACCCTAGGCGTGAGCCCCCTAGACAGAAATTCCCTTATAGAGCCTATACCCTGAACCGCCCCTTCTGCAACCCAACACCCTACCACACATTGGCTACGTCTAGACTGGCATAATTTTCCGCAAATGCTTTTAACGGAAAAGCACTTTTTGTGGAAAAGCGTCCATGCTAATCTAGACGCGCTTTTCTGCAAAAAAAAGCCCCGATCGCAAAAATGGCTTTTTTTGCGCAAAACAAATCTGAGCTGTCTACACTGGCCCTTTTGCACAAAAGCTTTGCGCAAAAGGGACTTTTGCCCGAATCGGAGCAGCATAGTATTTCCGCAAGAAGCACTGATTTCAGACAGTAGGAAGTCAAGTGTTCTTGCGGAAATTCAAGCAGCCAGTGTAGACAACTGGCAAGTTTTTCCGCAAAAGCAGCTGATTTTGCGGAAAAACTTGCCAGTCTAGACGCAGCCATTTAGTTCAGAGCCCTTCTCGCACTCTAAATCCCTTAGCCCAAGACCAGAGCCTGTGCCCCAACCCTCTGCCCTGCCTGGTGAAAAGGAGGGAGAATGGAGGAGGCAAGGAGGACTGAGTGAACTGAGGCAGAGCCTTGGCAAAGAGGCATAAAAGAAGTGGGGCAGGGTACTTGGGTTGGAGGTAGATTCTGGATTGCATTTAAATTTTAAAAAGCCATCTTGCGCTTATAAAAGTTGGCGACCCCCCCCTCCTCCGCTCTCACAGGTCTTGTCTCCCATTAGCGGATGCAATGCGGCACAATCCTGACTCCAGAAACAAAATACAGGACTATGTAGCACTTGAAAGACTAACAAGATGGTTTATTAGGTGATGAGTTTTTGTGGGCCAGACCCCACGAACGCTCATCACCTAATAAACCATCCTGTTAGTCCTGTATTTTGTTTCAGCTACACCAGACTAACACGGCTACATTTCTATCACCCGAGTCCAGAAGGCACAGCTGCCGGACTCCTTGACTGCCTCTGCCTGAGCCAATCCCCTAGCGATCAGGGGTTTTCCCCCATGGCAAGCTACAATGCCCAGGAGAGCCGCAAGCACCGTCACCCCGACCCCTTCTGCTTGCAGCTGGGACTGCACAGGTACCACCGGAGGCGCCCCTGGCACAGCGCGCCCCGCGCAGGATCGCTCCCTGGAAGGCTCCTCGAGGTCACTAGTGTCCAGCGCTACGCCGCGCCCCTAAGGGGCGCTGGAGTATTTATACGTGCACGTGACCACCACCACCCCCTCAGGCCCCGCCCCAGCCTCGCGCCCTGAGCTTCCCTAAGAGCGGCCGCAAAGCAGCCAGCGCGTCTGCCTAAGGAGCTACCCGGAACACAGCGCAACCGAACCCTGCCCCCGCCCAAAGACCCAAGGTGACTGTGGCACTGCCTGAAAAAAAAAAATTCCGCCCAGGACTCCGATCGCTGCGCCCGCACTAAGCCAAGCTCCGGCTATCAGTATGGGTCGTGGAGTAACAAACCACCGTAGCATCCCAGCTGTTTGAAACAGAGCCCTTCTGTGGACCCCGACTGTCTACTGTGCCGCCTGAACAACAACTGCCTA